AATTGGTTTAAAACTACAATTTTTGGACAGTTGCTATTCAGTATATGGATGAATTGAGGAACATTGAAATCACCAACAACAACCACATGTTGATTTAATAAAACAACCTCAAGAGCATTGAAAAATAATTCAAAATCATTAGAAGAAATATCTGGCCGAACATACAAAACCACAAGTAAAAAACTGTGAGTGCTAGTAAAGCACTTGCAAATAATAACGTCAATTAGTGGCACTAGATCAGTAAGATGTTTCGTGTTAACTACTGTAAATTTAATCCGATTAGAAAACGCGGCTAAAACGCCACCACCTTTTGAACTACCGACTAGAGAAAATTTACGATTACGAACATTATAAGATGACGGGAAAAGTTCCGCAGACAACACGGAATCATTTAACCAGCTTTCGCTAATTGTTATATATAATGTCAAATGATAGGTCACAACAGTTAACATAAAAGGAATGTGATTTGGACACAAGACCACGAGCATTCTGATAATATAAGTTATAAGAAATCGAAGACCTGCTGTCCTTAAATTTTTTGCACCTTGAGCAATGCGATTGTCTAGTTCCTTTTTAACTGACATATAAGAATTAATTTGCATCGGAGTTCGATCTCTTGAGATTACTTAGCTGCTGATTTTAAGTTTTTAAAGTTTTTTATTATTGTAAGAACGTCATCAGGAGTCAATACTTTAAATTTTATAGGGCGTGCTCTGTTAGTGTTAGTAGGATCAAACTTGCGGTGATGACTGCAGTATCAGCAACATTTTGTTCTTGTTCAGATGTGCCATTACATTCCTTCACGTTATACAAAACGATGTTACATTCACGCCTTTTGCGTTCAGACAATTCATGTAAAATTTGTTCAGTTTCGATGATAAATAAGCTGTCCGGTGTAGAACTGCTACTAGCAGTAGCAGGATTTATTATTATTATTAATATTAATGTAGCGCCCTGCAGAAAAATTCCCAAAACCGGAATTATGTTATTGATATTAAGTATTTTTTAACTGCTCAATTTCGGCCTACAAGTTATCTATCATAGAAATTAATTTGTTGCACTCCTTGTTCACAGATTGAGCAAATGTACTTTATACGCCTTGAAGACGATCTTAATCCCGAACATTTCAGCTCTTGAGCAGAAAGTTTAGGACAGGCAGAATGAATAGGCCGGTTACAACAGTCGCATTTTATAAATGGATTAATTTTCTCTTCCACATCACCTTAGCATTTTAGACACGGCATGTTTACTGATTGACTTTTCAATATGGTAACGAGAGAGAAAAAAAAAGGTACAAATGGAGGTTGAAGTAAATAAGGAAAAAAAAAAGACTGGGACACACTTCACATTCGCGGGGTCGTTCACGAATGATTAACCTAACATACACAAGAAGACCACGGTTGGGTTTAAAAGTGAGAAATTTCCACTACGCAGTAAACAAGAAGGAATTGTGTGGTTAGGTTAAATAAGATATTATGAAAATATTGATCAATCAATGAAAAAGTGGTAACACACATTCCCTGAGAACTCACGTGCCACTAAATGTAAACTTCACCAATTAATGAACAAATAAAGTAGCAATATAAGCAACAAGAATTTGCACCAAAACACACCTACTATGCTTAAACATCGAAACCCTGATCGAAACTATGTGAACATCGACCTACTTTATGTCGATGTTCCCATCTCTATGTAATAATGTCTAGGGTGGCTAATTCACTATAGCAGCTATTACAGAATCGTTTGTTGTAGACGTGTCGATGATATTTTTGTTTTATTTCAAATATTTTCGATATTTATAACGATTTTAATAATAAACAGATAAAACTAATGTAAGTTTTTATATGTCCATATTTTTACAAATAAAAATATGATTCAATATGGAAAATATAAAATATGGCCAGGCACTTCAAGTAGGTACCTAAATTTCTCTTCTCATCATCCTAGTAGTTACAAAAAAGAACATGCTGAAACACAAGAAATTAAAAAAAATATATTGTATAAAATAATTACCCAGTTCCGTTCAATAGTCAATAAGTTAAAGAAAAAGGCGTAAAATAATTACGCCAAAGAATATTATCAGTCTGAAGAATAGGGATCATACCTATATAGAAATGTTGGCATTTTAAAATATAATAGTCGATAAGACTGAAAAAAATATAGTCTTGAAGATGAAAATTTAATTTCCGTTTCCTTTTATTTTTCTTTTCTTAGAACCTCTATTTATTCTGTATTTTTATAGATTTCATTATACGGAATGAAAATAGGTCTGTTTTAAATACCTGATAATGAATGTTCGAGAAATTTCACAGTCGTGCAAATTTTAGACAAAAGTTCCTGAACTTGAGAGAAAAGGTGTCTATGATATCAAAAAATATTATCAATTCATAAATTCTCTTTAAAGATAAAAAGGAAAAATGTACTATCCCATTATTTAAAATCGAAGATACTGTTACGAAATAAACCCATCGCCTATGGGTTCTAGTATGTACGGCGATGATGACTCATTGTCGGTGACAGCGGCCGGGGAAGAACCTGGAAGCGGATGTCGCGAAGGGTGTTCGAGATCAAGCCTAGAAGCGCTGACAGAGACCTTGGAGAAGGACCGCGCGTCGGGAACAGTTAGTGTGGTCTAGATAATGGGAGAGGTCTAGTCAAACCCATTCCAGTCGAGTCGGAATTATTCTGTATATAATCGCTGCAGCATGTATAGTTAGTCGTATAAATTGGAGTTATTAAAAAATAAAATTATTGAGTTTTACCCTCGTCGATTTTAATTACCGATCAACGTAACAATACTTAAATATTTACTGCTTTGTTTTACTCAATTTTAATACTTCTAAAACAAAATATCTGTGGAAACAAAATCCACGGATATCCAATACTATACACTGATTCACATTTTTGTGTACAATAACAATAAGCATACATTTTTCAGCGATTTTTTATCAAATATTAATACATATAGGTAGACATTTTTAGTAGTAGCGTATAACGAATCTGTATAACAAGCTATCGTGAATTCAAATTTATGAAAAACATTTACGAATGTCTTGTCTATCTGTTCTAAGAAAGATAATGATGTATGATAATTATTGCGTACATTTTTTACATTTGCATGTTTGTATTAAATATAACTATCGCATAATTGATATTTTCTTTGCTTTGACGAATTTATTGATGTTCCAGTACTAAAATATTGTTACTTTATTTTCTTAATCTAATAGTTTAAGTACAAATTATTATACTCAAACTTTATTACATGTCTGAATAGCAATGGTACGCAAAGATTTACTTATAACGTATCCAATTGACTAACCGTTAGTTGGACCAATTACAAAAACACAAACTGATTGGGGTGTTACAAATTTTTCAATTCCTACTACTTATTTGCTTTTCTTTCACCATTACTTAAGTAATCATATTTTTAAGAATACGGTATTTTCTTAACAAGGAATGAAACTACAACTTCACCAATAATGTTTTGTATTTTATGCAATTGCAAAATAGTCTTTACTTTTGTTTCAGAATTGACATGGTTATTCGGATGGTTATGCAAAATTACGTCAAAATAGTTGTTGTGAAAAAAAAAATAGTTAAAAATAATGTTGTTATCAAAATAAGTACAGACAACACGATAAACAAAAAATCTGGAAAATCCAAAACAGAAATCGCGAAACGATTATTCTTATCAGGTATAATTTTAGAAATATTATTCGACTGTACTAAACAAATAGTGCCATAACTTTAAAACTCCAATACATTTACAAAAATAAAAGTAAAGATATCAAAAGCATATCATTAAAGTGGATTATACATTATGGGTTAATTATGGGCAGCTGACAGTTTTATGCAGTGACGCAGTTGGAAAAAGTGTTACTATTTATGTGTCATAGGGAAGTTAAAAAATTAGTATTTGAAACATATTAGGTATTACTTATTTATGAAAGATTGCTTATTTGAACATTTTAAAAAAGTCAACATAATATTTTAACGTAAAGAATAAAGGGAAACACTACTAACAACGAGAAACACTATTAACGACAAAGTAAAAGAAAAACAAGTTAAAATGGACTAAAAAATAGAAGAATTATTGGATCTCTGACCAGTGCAACTTTATAAAATTTTTGTGAGTGATACAAGAGCGAAAGTAATTAGATATAATAACGAACAATATCATCCAAATTACTTAAAAGGAGTTCGTTAAGTTTCCAGCATTATTTATGGTTTAGAGTTCAGTAAGTATCTGCTAAATGTATGCATGAAATCTACATTAGTAAACTATTTTTTAAACCCCTAAGTGATAAGGGTGACCCACCAAACTTTTTTTATTTTTTAGGCATCAAAAAATACATATAACCCTAAATTTTGACCCTTCTACCACCAACCCCCATTTTTTAATAACGATATGAGTATCTTTGCTTTCATCCACAGATGCGCAATAGGGTTGCAAGATGGCCATTGAATATAATCATTGTACGATAAATTTTTATGTATGTATTTTAATTTAATTTTTTATTTAACTATGTGCCAAAATATTCACTAGAAATGCCAAAACAACGTTTGGCGGGTCGGCTAGTTTCTAATATTGTATATATTTTAATTATGTGTCTTCAGGTAATTATTGTATTTTATTTTTTTAATTCAATGTTTGAGGTAGAATGATTTTAATAAAACGTTAGCACTAATTGCAATCTACTCATTCTTTACTCATTATACTCGTATTTTTAAATATTTTTATTTCGCTGTTCATTAGGGGCCCCACAGTGTTGTAGAACACAGGCCCGCAGTTTGATTGTTACGCCACTGCTTACACTAGAAAAGTTCATAGAAACGATGACTGACCCACCCCTTAAATTTAAATGTGGACTTGGCCCGACCGATTTTGTGTTCTACGCAGTTTTACAGCTGTGTCGATCTTAGAGTGCACGATGTCTACAATCTTCAGGTATAAACATATCTAAAGATTGTAGGTAACAAATTTGAAGTCAAAAAGAAACTAAAAATTGGCAACATTTATTTGTTTATACTTTTTTTTACATTTTACAAACGGTGTCCAGGTGTAATTGCGTTGAAAATCTTCACATTCTTGTTCTACTAGTTATTTGCACCTATGTCTTATTTTAAATACATAGTCATTGATTATAGGCTGATTGCTATTGGACGGGGCAACACACGCCGGCATACCTAAAATGTTTACTTTAAAAACGGTTCTTTTAAGAAATCAGTAGGTGTTTCTACTTACTCATTCAGTGGACAGAAATATTGTAGATAAATGCTGACGTCCGTTAACAATGAAAACACTTGAGGACAATCGTAAATAATTGTACATACACCAGTACTGTTGTTCGGAGTTTTTGGACAGTTGGGTCGAATTGGTACATCACCACCACGACCCAGTTTAAATGAACCTAAAATTAACAAATAAGTTACTGTTAATCTGATAGTATACATTTTTCTACTATATACTAAATGACAAAAAACCGAACACCTAGAAAACATGCATTTTTTTTATGAAAAGTTGTATCAATAATTATATTTATAAGTAGTGTTTGTTATTTTCGTTACGGTTTTGTGGTGAAAAACCGTTAATAACATATGCATGACAAATATTAATTTTATGTTAGCAGTTTAACAGTAAATTACCTTGAGGGGTTGTGATACTTTCATTATGGTTTTTCAAATCTTGAAGCCATTGCGGAATGCTTGCTAAAGTAGTATTTAAATCAGAAATAGATAATAAATTGTGTAGAAGATACTTACGTTGTTCTGTCGTTGCATATGTTGGCAGTACAGTGGTAGTAGATGGATAGAATGGTGGATAGGTAGGGCGTGGAACAATTCTGTCTATAAAACATATATACAAAAACAATATAAACTGTAACTATTTCAAGTAATTTGTGGAAAAACTTAAAAATATTTGTGGATTCCTCAATAGGTATTTGTTTGTTTCCAAAACATGCAATTAATTCTTTAATGTTACGTAGGCAAAAATGCGATTGTGACGTAAATTTTCTACAACACATATTGATAATAATTATTATGTTTTTAAAATTGTTTTTAATACTCTTAAACTGACTAGAACAATTAAAATTAAATCTGGCATTCAGCAATAAGTGGACTACCAACAAAAAACTTTATTACTCAGTAGAAACAGTGGAAGTACTAAGGCGACACAACACAAGTTTTCTGGCATGTGTAATATAGAACTAAAATAATTATTTTAGTTCTACATTACAATTATAATTGTGACTACTTTATTTTTTTGGAATCTTACATATTTTCATTTTTCAAATCAAAATCAAAAAATTATAAATCTTACTGAGAATTTTATTACATATATGGTACTAGCATTTTCAAAATCAAGCCTACAATCTTTAAAGAGTCAATCTGTGGCTACGTCATTAGCTTTGAGGTAAAGAAAGTGTTAATTTATAACACTCTAATAGCAATATAAATTTACATTACACAAAGTTTATTCTTTTTTAGCCATTAGATACTCATTGCTCAAATATGTAGCAACAATATTACATCACTCAGTTCGGCCTACTTTACGACAGTATTCACATACTGAGAAAATTATACTAGATGCAAACTAAACAGTATAAATTCAAATGTTATACTTACCAGCAACAGCAAGAGGAGGGACATAAGCTGAAAACAAAGATTCACATACATTTAGCCAAAAATTTAAATTTAATTATTGATTACGGTTTAAGGTTTCAAAGCATATGAATTGATCTTAAAAAATTCATGCTTCGCCTTAAATTTGCTATTCTGTAACTATTATTTATTAATATTTTAAATTTCAAGATACGCAAAAAATTGGTGCTGCCAGTTCGGAATTAATGTTTAATCGTTTGTTATTATTGTTTGGTTATGAATTACATTGGTCTAAAATTTTTCAGATATAACTTCCATCGCTTTTGAAACACAATCAATTCTACAATTTTTACGATAACACCTATATGTTACAATAAAAGTTGCGGTGTACTATTATTTCAAAAGAATTGTCCTCCCTCCGAGAGTACAATAAAATATATCCGGATTTTTTGAAAAATGGATTTTAACGATTTTATTTTTTTATGAGAATCCCAATAAATTATAATAAACATAAGTATATAATGTTAAAGTAAATGTAAAGTAGCGTGCTATGCGTATATTTCAAATGAGTTTTTCGTTGTTGATACCTTCATCACAAAATTTTGTGATGAACATTTTTGCAAGAAATATATCAGTTTGGATAGGTGCAGTATAATAACAATAATAACAGTATTGTATTTCCAAACTTTCGGGAAAATGGAGGGAGCCGTTCCTGATTTAATAAATAAAATAATCTGACTCATTCATTAATTTTGTTGTGTCAGCAATTCTAAAAAATACGTATGTAAGATAACTCACAAGTTTTCATACATATTTTGCACATTTTAAATAGGATTTATTCGGCAAAATTTTGAGCTGACGTCTTCAATTTTTTGGAGAAGATAAGTAAATATATTTTGATTGAAAATTTACCGTGCTTGGAACAAATTTCAAAGCATTCGGTTTGGCAGATTCAAAATTAATTTGCAAGATGTTGTTTTCGAATTTTGACTTTTATCCAAAAATCTGGACCTTTCGAGTAAAAACTCGTTACGGAGTCATAAACTACTTGTGTAGGACTATGTTATTTTATACAATTTAAAACCCATTTACTCTGTACAGTTTTGAGGTGAAGTCGTAACATCGTTGGTGTGGACGATTAAACAAAATTTTACATATTAATCATAACACACATATAAAATTTGACAACAATCGGATCAGGAGTTTCGCAGATTATCTGTCTTACAAAAATTGACACAGACGGCGGACAGATAGACCGAAACGGGATACCTATGTTTTTGTACTCTTGGAGTCATGAGACATCGAGAAAATATAGAAGTGGCCAGTCGCCCGATGGACTCGATTACAATACTTCCTTAACTTACGCTTGGGAAGTAAAAATTGGTCGGAAGTTATTTCGATAGAACTTCCTTAGCCCTTGAAGTAGAGTCCGACCAATCACGCTTCTTTAAAAAATTATAAAATTTGATTTTGCGATTTTCGTTTTGTGATAACCCCTATAAAATAAAAATTAGTCACGTAATTAACACCCCCGCAGCCCCCGTGCTGTGGAGGTGCAAATTCCAATGAAATGCGGTCCGTACAAGTATGGACAATATGAAATATATTTTACACAGATAACCAACGCGAAAATTTTCTCAATACATGCTTAACTTCAACTGTTTATGTTTATACTTCGAAAAAATTAAACTATTAGCATGTGCAAATTACAAAAATCAGCGATTAAAAGAAATGAAATTTTCTCAACGCAGAAGAAAGGACTGATTAATTAATTAACCACGCTCACTTTTTTCCAAAAACACTCAAATTTGAAGAAAACTCGGCAAATTATAAGGAGACGATTTAGCATGCTTTCAACAATCTTAAAACATTTGCTAGATTTCACAACATTCGTAATTCGCCATTAAAATTATGCAGTTAGTGCTCTGAAACACCCTGCACAATTTTGATTTTTTACCCAAAAAGCTGGATGTCTGGGAAAAAACTCGACGGATTCATGCAAGAGTACGTAATTCTATAAAATTTAAAGAACATTTATTCTTCAAAATTGTACAATGACGTCAACACCTATTAGCAGACATAAAAGAAAAAATTTTGATTAACGATTTACCATGCTTACGGTAAAAGTGTTTGCGAGATTTCAGAGCATTCGGTCTTGCAATTGCATTGTTAAATTGGAAAATGTTGTTAAGTTGTTATACAATGTCGATATTTTTGCCAAAAATCTAGATGTCTCGGGTAAAACCTCAACACGGATTCATATGCTTATCTTAATTTATAAAATTTAAATAATATTTACCAATGCAAATTTTCGAGATAACGTCATCTTATTGTTGATTGCCAATAATCGAAGTTTTATTTTTTAGAGCGGTTGTTTAAAACATTAGGCGTATGAAGCTAATTTAAACATGTTTTCATTTTTCCAAAAGTAGTTCAGCCACTTCTGTTTATTACCTGTTTCAGAAATGATCTACTCTTATTTAATTTCCTTTATATTCGTAAAGCCAGGTAACATTATGATACACTTTGTATTACCTGTATTAAAATAATTATTAAAATGTTTATGCTTTGAAAAATTAAAATGCACTTATTGAAGAGTGTTTCAAAGGGAAGTTACGTTGTAAATGTATAAGTTTAGACCATTTCGTAAATCAGTATTTGAACTTGTAAATGATACATTTTAAATATTTCGTAACACTGTGGCGATATTAATCCCAATTTATAACTTAAACTTATAATCTGTGCACACCTGTCAGCGATTATTTAACACACACGAGATTTGATTTACTAGACGCTCTATTAAAGTTAAAATGTACTTACCGGCGAAAGTATGATTTCCAGAAGTAAACTGCGCTCCACCAGCTATTAATGCTGCAAAGAATTAAATAATTAATAAAATAACTAAACACATAAACTGTCAAATGCATTTACTCGTGAAGAAAAAAAATACCAAATGTTGTAAAAAACTTATATGAAAACACACATAAAACCCTCTGAATTTTAAAGTCATTAAACGAAAATATTTGTTAGTTTATAAACAATAATAATATAATATAAAAGTATTTTGAACTAAAATGAAGACGTCTTTATTGATCTTTTGTAATTTCATGCGAAATACTGTTGTTTGCCATTTGTGAAAAAACCACTCAACCGGCACCATAGTACGAAAACTCAACAGACAACATTGTCTAGGGAGATTTTTAGTGCCAACATGTGCTGTTAAAAAAATTGAGGTCCGGATGATTATGGTTTTCATTCAAAACACGTTGTTTTTTTTTATTTTATTTTGACATTTTTGTCATAAAATATTTGAAATTTTTTGCACTACCAACTTGACAGTGTAAAAATAAGCCCTAGAGGAGTTTTATTTGATACCAACTTAATTCAACAGGTCATGCTTTTTTAATTTTTGAATCAACAGTACATGCACATTACACTAATGTTTCTAGTTTGATTTAAACTAGTGACTTTCTTTCATAATTGTGGTAAAAGTATGTATATATTTTCAGTAATTTAACACGGCAACAGTTTAGAAAGAAAACGCACAAAAACTCTTAAGAACATACCAAATTTTTCATAATCTATCACCACTAGAAAATTAGTTACTTACGTCGGACACCAGCATAACGGTTGACTAACCCAAGGTAGTCTGTAACAAGGTTTATGTAAAATTGTATCGATGTTTGATGCATTATTTAGATTGAATAGTTATTATAAATACCTGGTGTTGGTGCTACCATTTCAGCGTCGACTGAATCAGTTTGATTAGGTTTAACCACGACCAGAGAAGTAACGTCCGTTACAAATGAATATTTTAATGCTAATTGAAGTGCTTTCTTTGTCAATTCTGTTTTATTTTCTGCGGTTTCCCTTTGTTTTAACATCTGTGATACAGTTAAATATGCCCAAAGTCTTTCTAAAGAAGTAACCGGTTCAGTACGAGTTGTATTAAAAATGACAGATCCAGTAATACTACTTCCTTTAACATGAGGCAGAAAATCTACGTTTGATCCTGTAAAGAAAATTACATATACACAAAAATTACTGAGCATTTAACTGAAACAAACCAGTTCGGCCTGCCACGACTAATTCTGAACCTTTAAAAAGAATTGGGTAATGAGTTTTTGTCACTTCTGAAGCTCCATCTACATATTTAAAGGTAATATTACTCATTAAAGGTGATGAAATCGAACGGTAAAAATCTTGTAATTGTAAAGAAGCATCTGCTGCTTCGTATATGTGTCTAGAAAATCCGAGATTCTTTGAAGATAATTTTTTTAAGAAGTTTTTGTCAGCGCCAGAACCAAATGAAAGGGAAAAAATTGCTGCAGATTTTTCACCTGCATTAAGTTTTGTCACCTGAAATAGCTCGCCTTCAGTACTTTAAATGTAGTTGCATTTTTTACTTACTATATTAGTAATTTCATCTCTAGAAAAGATTCCCACATTTGGTAAACCATCCGTCAAAAATATAATCATGGGCTCGTATTTTTTCGGTTTATTTTCCTGGGTCCTTTTGATTAAAAATACACCTACTTCTAAACCTGCAATTATGTTAGTGGAACCTAATAATGACTTGTCGGTCACAATATCTTTTGCTTTTTTAATGTTCTCCTCAGTAGCTTCTGCTGCTTGAGGTAAATTGGCTTCCTAAAATACAGTCATGTAACTCAAAAATTTCATATTTTTAAAAATAAAAGTTTTTTACTAACTCTCAGGTATGGTTCAAGTTCTCCATATTTTGGTGTAGTTAATTCAACTGTCTTAAATTTATTTTCTACAGGATCCCAAACTGAAGCATCGCTAGAGAATCTGACGATATTGAATAAGTCTTTAGCGTCAAGTTCCGATAAAATATTTTGCATGGCTTCAATGAGCTGATCCAATTTCCTTCCTCCCATACTGCCACTGTGATCCAAAACAAACACGATATGCTTGGGCAGAGGTTCCAATTCCGAAGGAGCGAAAAAATGCACAAAATATCCATCTTTCACTAAAACCTAAGAAGAAAATCTTGTTTTATTTTAAACTGACATATATTCAGCAATTCAATTAATTAATAATTCGTACCTCGCCTCCTTGAGGATCCCTTTCTACGTCGTACTGAACTACAAACTGACCAGCCAATCCATTTTCTGTATTACCCCCAAGATTTTCAGCAAACTGTTTTTGTTGATTTATGTCTGGATTAAATTTCACGACGGCAGAATTTTTATCAGTAAAATATATTTTTGCAGATGGGTCTAGTTTGTCATCATTTTTGCTTATTTCATTTCCTGTTCGTAAAGATGGTGTTTTTACAAAATTTAACGGTCTGCTCTCATTGATATTAACCTTGAATTAATTTAATCAACATTTATTTTCACATGTTTTGTTAATACCTGAACTCCCAGATCCTTAACAATTTGTCCTGGATGAATGTTAATAACGAGTTCGTATTGTCCTACTTGTCGTTCAAGAAGTTCTTCATAGACCAGTCTAAATATTGTTTTACTTTCGGGTTCTATATTTACTGAGACTGTAAATGTTTTGGAATCTCTTGCACTCAGTTCAACGTGCGCTGCACTTTGTCCACTCATTACGGCCTATCAAGAAACTCTAATGAATTAATGTTAAATACACATCCTAACAATAACAGCATATTAAAAAACAAGGTTTATACGACTTTATTTTAGAGTACAAATCCCAAAATTCTAAGGGATGAGTCCTGTAAAATATTTTATGGAACGTGTATTTTATATTATTTTTTCTACTCCACACCTTTTTTTTACCATTTTAATATAAAAATTGTTGTCCAGAGCTCCACAGGTACTGTTAGTGTTGTTAGTGAAAGTAATTTTCAGCAAAATATTGTGACTTATCTAAGTGCCCAAAACATATCCAATGGTACGATTAATGTGTAGGTACATATCATGGTAAAATGTAATTTTAATTAAAAATATAATTTCCATCTTTCGACGTTTATTTTATTTGTTATTTGACAGTGACATTAATAATGACTACCAATCTTAAAAAAATAAATTATACCAGTTCTCTTAAAACACTCACTTTGGGAGCTTTAATAGTTCGGTTATGAACTCGAAGTAGAAAAGGATATTATAACATTATTTCGATACATTTCCAGAAAAATAATTTTATGCGTTATTGTCGATCAGCAAATGTTTTTCTTTATGTGATGAAACAAATGTGAGGGAACAAGTTGACAAATAATGTGATCGAATTATATTTATCTTTTTTTCTATATTTAAATTTTTGTCGACTTGTTTTGCCAACCACGTTAGTATTATGCAGACAATGTACGATCTCTGCAAAAGATGTTTGTTTTTATTTATTCTAATTTTATTAGAATTTAAGATTTATCAAAAGCCAATGAGTTAATGTTAATATAATAAGAATTATTATGTTTACCTCAAACTAAGGATAACAATTTTTTAAGAAATAATAAATGCAAAAATTAACACTTTTAAGATTTTTCTACAACATCTCCCCCTTCCTAAATAATTCGTTTTGTTAAAGATATTTTTTAATTCGCTATGCTGTGATAATATTACATAAATAATAAAACAACATTTTTTTTACCTGTTCGTATATCTTTTTAGCTTCTTCTTTTTCTTTGACGTAAGCTTTGTATACTTTTTCATCGATTTCCATCTCAAATTCCGAAATAAACGCATTTTCGGGAAGAATGACTGAAAAAGTGGTTTCTTGTGCTTGTTTCTTCAAATTTCGTACTCTACTAGTGATAAGTGTTCTTGCAAAACGGTTACTCACATTAGCGGTAATTTGCATAGAATATATTTGAGGACTAACTTGAAGATCCTATACAAAATTCATCATAATTTCCGAATTATATTGCTAATATTTCTACTTAGTACTTACATTTGAAGATTCTGCAGATTTTTCTTTTGCAGGTTCCGTAGTTGACACCACTAAACTGCTGCTGTCACTTGGAATAGAATATACTGTTTTACATAACAGTAGAAAAAATATTATTGGTGTATACATGTTTTGTTATTTTTGAGATTCGTGTTTAGTAATAATACATTATAATGAAGTTTCTTAAAATCGTGTTACCATATATATAGTTGCTGTGTTTCCCCACTCAAGAAACTCATGCATACGGAGAAAACCAAACATAAATTATAAATTATCTTTTTTTACGAACAAAACCTCTTTGGCTGGGCTGTAATTCTGTAGAAGTGGCCGTTCACATACTACGTAAACAAGTAAAAGAACAGGTTCGACTGATGTTCCAAGGTTGAGTTCATTGAATATAAGTAAAGAAAACTCTAATAATAATTTAAGAGCTAGTGATCCATTTATTTAATATATTTCAGTACTCATGAAAACTAATTGAAAAGCAATGGATGAAGTCTTGTATACCTACAGAATAAGACATACATACCCATTCTGGCAATTGATTCCAATGAGAAAAAGCAACCCCAAATTTACAAAAAAAATACTCTCTTGGGGATTTAAATTAGTGATGTAATTTTGCTGTGGCATTTAGGCTTATTCATCAGACTAATTTACTTTTAGATAACCATAATTAAATTTAATTTTAATAGTAAAACTTTGACAAAATTAGCAAAAAATTTAAAAACTCGACAATTTTGTTATATAAAGGACTGGTACAACATGTCACTAACGAGTTGTACATGTCGTTGGAAGAGTAAGGCATCACTCAAAACAACTCGAATAAGCTGACGTGATTACTTTAATTAGGAAATGGTCTAGTAATAACAAACATAAGTTATTTTTGCGTATACAAATTCTACGAACAAAAACTGCTGGTTTTACCCACTGCCATTACTCACTGTTCTAGCATCGTTATCACTGATAGCAATTAATGCACAAAAGTAGATCTTATATAATTAGATGTTTACAACTAGTGTGTTTATAAGAAAAGTTAGGAACTTCAAAAAAAAAAAATGTTTGAGAAATAGGCTTGAACAAACGAAAGAATTTTTTACAAAAACTGCAAAAAAAACTCTAAAATTATTTTTTTACTTCTAACACGGTTTACTTTTCATGTAAATCCCTGCTTACAAAGACTGTTACGTTATGAACAAATTTCTTCTCTTTATTTACTTGACATGTAAATCCCAATTTACAAAGACCGTTCCGTTATGCACACGCTCTTCTCATAAATATTGCGTGACTGTTGTGGGGAATCCTTGTATTTCCCAAATAGGTACTGTTTTAGCGGCAGGTGTTGTTTCAAAAACGTTGCATTCCTGTTTTAATGAAGGTTGTGAAATAGAGTCGTGTATTTCAAATTGTTTATCTTATGTTTGTGTGCTTAAAATTTATCGAAACAGTTCTGAAAGTGATTCTACAAGTAAGTTTAGTTGCATACCTCCACAGTTGACAAAATATGATTTTTTAAAATTGCGTTAACAGATTGAATAAACAAATTTTTTATTTAATGCAATGATACACACTGTGATTCACACACTCGTGCATAATAACAGGCTTTTCAAAATTGTAGTAATTTAATATACTAATTACTAGAATATCTGCAAAATTTAATAGTATTCGATTTTGTATTTCCAAGTTAAATTGTAAAATATTATTGAAAAAGTTTATTGTTTTCTAAACGGATTAATAAACTACAATCATAGAAGCTTATCGTTTTACAAAATTTAAACCGGATTTACCTACCAAATTTTGAGATAACGTCATTAAATTGTTGGAGGGGATTATCAGGAAATTTTGATTACACGATATTCCTAAAATAGGCCTTAAATTTCACAACGATTGTTGTTTCGACGGATCAGACCACAGATAAATTACATATCACAAACAGACCTAAACGAGAGCGACCCACATTTTCATACTGTAGAAGCTATGAAACGAGGAGGTAGCTTAAAATTAACCAATAGTTAAATAGACTGTCCAACACAACTACATTACAGAAAGTTCAACAATTAAAAGGAAAAGTTATTCGATAAACATTTCACAAGCGCTGGTGCTACGAAATTCAGTCCTGTTTCTTGAAATATTTTAGGACAAAAGTAAATTGCTACGAGCTATTCTAACCTTCACATTTTAATCTCACAATTTCCAACTAGTCCCGTTTCTCTGTATTTCAATATACACAATAAACACGTTTCCGAAGAACGTAGGAAATAAGGTGTTGAACAAGAGATACGTAGTTGTCTTATTTCTGATAACTTATAAGCATGAAAGTTAAATGTACCAGGTGCCTCGAAAATAGCGGCTTCACTTTTCGCTACGCGCTTAACAATCAATTTGTGAGTCTGGAAAAAATAGTACAAAAATTTTTTTTCACATTTTGGTAGTTACAGTGATCTTAAAGTTAATTCTTTTGCTAGGTTGAACAACTAAATAACATTATTCATTAACACAATAACTAGTACTAATAAGCTTTTTATTAATATTTCTCTCGCCCATGGTCGGGTTTAATTAAATATTATTTCATTTGGAATGTAAAAAGTTATGATTGTATTGTATTTGTAATAGTTTGATGAAGTTCCAATGTTTACCTGATGCAAAAGAGACGGTACATATCAACAAAAATCGACATTTTGACATATCAAAAATTGTAAAAATTTTCAATAGTAATATCCCAAGTGCATGTCAAATTGTCCACAATTTTAATTTTCTCGACTGCGCGAATGTGCACGAGAGAAAACTGCAAGATTTGCACGAGCGGATATTTTGCAAACTATTTCCTGAAAAAAAAGTACATTGATCGGTCTATTCCAAACTCAAATATTTTCTGGATCTGTTTCTATGCTTATTTTTGCATGGCAGCATAGACAGTGAAAGTAAAAATCATGTAAAAATACTTTCCGGCCGGTTTAGCGAAAGCTGCTTGAGCAAAATCGATGTGTAAATAACTAATTTGACTCAAATTAATACTAAAAAATCAAAAGAATCTGCATAAGAATCTGCATGGAAGCAATTTGAACATTTTTGTGTGTCACGAGGGTATGTTTTGAAATAAATGCAACTGCATCGGAATTCTTTCTGACTTTAAAAGATTTTACTTTCAAAAATATAAGCAAAGTACGGGAGTTGTCATCTTCGTGTGTACAAGACAAAGATATAGAAAGCAAAAGTTTCCTGTGTCTTTAAAAATTGAAACTTACCTTTGGTAAATAAAAATTTGGCATTAGTCTTATTATTTATCATTTTCAACTAAATGCCAAATCTCATAATAATAATAAACATGTTATTAGCGGCCTGTTAAAGTGGTGAAATGTATTAGTAACTTCAAAGTAAAATGGTACAAGTGTCCTACTATTAAGTCTAGACATACATAGACTTAACATATTCTAATAACTTATCATAAGATATTTCTCCCATAATTATTTTTTGTAAAAATATTAGACTGGCAACCTTCCTCCTAGCGTAAAGGGACTTTCCATACCATATTTAACAAAAGAATTTGGTCACAGTGACGCTGAGGATATACCCAATACATTTTAAAATACAAATATTTGCAGAACTTCCGAAGAACTTTTTCTATTAAACATATATAAATCTGTTGGTGAGGATTCCATATCATACTGCAGTATTCTAGCTTACATCTAACTAAATTATAAAATAACAGCCTTATACAAAATGAACTGGAAAAATCCGCTGAGTTCCTAATAATAAAGCCTAATGTTCTCATTGCAGTACAAGTAATGCTCTCAATATGCGGTCCAAAGAATAAAGTTGTGTCCATCATTACGCCTAAATCTACAAATCCATCACAACGTTTAATGAGATATCATTAATTTTATATTCAAATTGTATGGTAGCGGACTTCCTGGTGAAAGACATTACTTTACATTTATTATAATTGATTTGTAAATCGTTCTGTACAGTCCATAAAATTAGCCTGGTGTACTGGTGTACAATTATCGCTGAAATTCAATTCTTTTTGGTCGTCATGTAGAAATGTAAATGATTTCACTGGATCAATTTTCTGAAGGGAATAGTAAAAAAAAATCGTTTTAAAATGGTCGCAGTCCTGATATGTACCTGGTTTTTGGCGAATGCAAAGAGAAATGTCACTGTGGTCGTACGAATATATAGTAAGTGTTAGCGGGTAAGAAAGCATCCCACAGTAAATGTGATCAGGCGAATGAGGAAATTTCGGGAAACGATCAACTTGCTTCCTATAGGAACCCAGGCCCATGTTTGAGGTGATTCTGGGACCACATGTACTCCGCAGTTAAAGGAGGGTGGCTGACGGTCCGACAAGAAATGTTTCGCAGAGAGTTGGGAGTGAACCCAAACACAATAAATAAAACTATTACAGGCCAGAGACTTCATCCATATCAGTACAACAGGATAGATCCCTCACTTCACCGATATTACGAAAAACGGATAAATTATTTTAATTGGCTGTCGAATGACACCGAAGAAGACCCCAATTTTACCTACAAAATTTTGTGGCTAATAAAATATCAGAATTCAGCCTGGACTAACACAATAAGTAAAAAAAGCCTTCAAATATGGTGGATGCGCCGGGATACTTGAATATTTTCTTTAAATATTGTATTTGCATTTTTATTTCACTAAGTTCACACTACTAATAAGTGATTCAATTTAATAGTTACATTTAATTTAAGATTTTAAGCTATAAGCGAGACTTATTGCTTTTTATTTCCCGAGCGTAAGCTAAGGAATTACCTAATCGAATTCATCGCGCGAATTGCCACTTTCATATTTTCTCGGCGTGTCATGACCTCTAGAGTACGAAAAAAGTGGTCTCCCGTTTCCGTCTGTCTGCCCTTCTGACGTCTGTATCCATTTTTATTAGACACCTAATCTCCGAAACGACCGAACCGATTGTTGTAAAATTAGGCATATCATGTAGATGGTTAAACGCTAATTAAAATTTGTAATATCAAGTTTTTAAAAATTTTATAAAGTACTTAAGATACTCCTGCACTTGTGGTGTGTGAATCCGTGACGAATTTTGACCCTAGACATCCCGATTTTTAGAAAAAAAATTAAAACTATAACAATATCTTGCAATTTAACTTCGAAGCTACAAAACCAAATGCTCTATTACTTTGTAAATATTTTAAGAATAACGTTAAGAACAATTTATTCATTTAATCTCTACCAAAAAATTGATGACGTTATCTCAAAATTTTACCGAATAAATCCTCTCTGAACTATGCAAAATATGAGTTTTCACTTGTGATTTATCCCTGCATTAGCAGTTTTTAAATTTCTTAAAAAGGGTGAATG